TCACCAAAAAATGCCTCGAGCTGTCAACACGGCATCATCAAAGTTCGCCCTACATTGGATACGAAATATACAACAGCTTACTATCATGCTGAAGAGTTCAACAAAGCGCTAGAGCTACGCAACAAATCCATCCACATAAATAATACTGATTACATGAAAGCTGGTGTAAATAACACAGAGCAATGCAGCACTTGCAAGTGTGATTTGTACGAACCGTACATAAAGTGTCCGGATTGTGAACGTACGCTATTGTGTTTGCAATGTTTTGCACAAGGACGTGAGACGGCGACGCATCTCAATACGCATTCCTACATTATTATACGCGACGATATACAAGTATTTGCGGGCGCTGGTAGGTGGACAGCGAAAGATGAGCGTATTTTATTGCGTACATTAGAGAAAAAAGGCTATGGCAATTGGGAGGCCGTTGAACACGCACTGAACTCTCGGCACACTGCTGAGGAATGTCGCCAACATTATCATAACTGCTACTTCGGTGGAATATTTGAGCGTTTACTTGGTTTGACGCACCACAAAAATGCGTACTTCCCCGAACGCATGCCGTATGTTGTAAAGATGCGTTCTGTTGATCCGCCACGCAGTGATGAGCCGGGCTCAATGCAATTTAAAATGATGGCGGGATATCGATGTGCGCGTGGGGACTTCGATACTCCATACGATAACTCAGCTGAAGATTTGCTAACGACAATCATGCAAAATAGCTTTGCTGCCATTTCTGCGAGTGACGACGATGAGCCAATTGACGAAATAAGCAGTGCTGCGTATGAGGAACTGCAATTAGCAGTAGTCCGTGCTTATAATAATCGATTGAGGTAATTTTTGTTTTAAAATGTGCTGCATATTAAATATTGTATTTACCACAAAGCTAAGATTTACCATTAAACTTCTAGAGAACGTAAACGCAGATATCGAATAATGCGTGACCACGGGCTGATCATGCCCAATCGCACTTTGGGTTGGATCTCGAAGTATGCAGAGGCGTTGGGCTCGGAATCGAATTGCCATCGTTTCTTGTCTTTTATGCAGATCAGCAAGCCGATTAAATACGACATGCTGGTAGAGTCCCTGAAATATTTTTCGGATGTGCAAAAGAAGATTTATCGGTAACAGTAAAACTAATTAAATTAAATTTATTTTTACTCCTTTACTAAAAATTTTCGAAATTTCCTTATAGCTTGTATGAGCTACGTCAGAATGGCGTGCGCACACTTGAAGGCGGTGCATTGTACTTCAAAATGAAGAAACGGCGCGCTCAGCAACAACGCGATCGCCTAAAAGATGATACATCCCGACAACTGCACGATTGGCGTAAGCTAATGCCAAGCCCTCAAATGCTCGTACCCAATCCGTTCGCAACGCCGCATGCAGGTTCAAACCCCAGAAAAAGCCTGGCCCAATGGACATTATGGGTTTGTCTTAGTAACTTGGCCGTGTTTAAATGAACTTTTAAACAATATTCCTCCTCTTTACAGGCATGCCTGGGTATACCCGCCTCACCGACGATGAACGAAAATTGTGCAGCGTCGAGCGTATAGCACCACAATCATATATAGATTACAAAAACCTCTTAATAGCGGAAAATATGAAAATGGGTCATTTGCGTTTGGCCGATGCCAGGCGTTTGATAAAGATTGATGTCAACAAAACTCGGCAAATATATGATTTTCTGATAGAAAATGGCCATATAAATAGACCCACGTGACGCGTATAAATTTTTGTAACTCGAATCTAAGAAATCGATAACAATTGAAAACCATTTATAGATGTTAGTTTGAGTTGTCGTTTCACTTGTATTACGTATATGCAAATGCGTGTTATTGCTATAAGCTGCTTCACCGTTAATTAAGAAATTTATGTATATATCCTTTTCCTTTCACAGAATTTGAAAACGCCGAAACTTTACTAATTTCTGAAGTACACATGTTGCTTGACCATCGCAAACGTCAAAACGAATCGGCAGACGAGGAGCAGGAATTTTCTGAAGTGTTTATGAAAACATATGCATACACGGATAGTTTTCGTAAATTCAAAAATAAGGAAACAATCGCAGCGGTGCGCAGGTGAGTAAGAAAAAACGCTATTCATTATAATTTACATTCATTTACATCTTTATCTAAATCCCTGCTTTATCTAAAGCCTTCAAAACCCATCCTCCCATAACATAATCAAAGTTTTATTTATTTTTTTTTTTCATAAAAGCCTCACTCAAACAAATGTCTGAAATTATGTGCTTAAAATATTTGTTTTTCCCAGTCTTTTAATGCAGAAAAAATTGCACAAATTCGAATTAGCTGCACTGGGTAACCTCTGCCCCGAAGCGCCTGAGGAAGCAAAGGCGTTGATACCATCGCTAGAAGGACGCTTCGAGGATGAAGAATTGCGGCAAATACTAGACGATATAGGAACGAAACGTAGTTTACAGTACTGAAGTGTTTTTGCACATTGCAAATTAAAAAAATTTTATAAAATACATTCTTATAATTATAAATATCTAATCTCTATTTAAATGGATTTGTAAAAAGAAAATGTATTTAATTTTCTGCTATGCATTTTTTTAAATTGATGAACAAGCGATTTGCTCATCGTCGTATACAGTTTTAATAATAAAAGACTTACAAATGTAAACCATTTTTAAAAATCATATATACTCGTATAATTACTAGTATTTTTTAATAAGTGTTCTTAAAGCCCTTTTAACACACTATATGAACATCCCAAGTCAAAACTCTTACAGTTTACCTGCATCGGACTCCCGGGTATGATCGCAGAAATACTCGTATTTATTGGTTAGGGCCTTTGTGAATTAAGATAACGATATGTAGNGCCGGACATTCGTTCGGCACATCCTCATTCAGCCTACTCAAGTAGGAGTTTAACTTGCTGCAGTAGCCGGAGCGAAGTTGTGCGAGTGTAGTGCGTGTGTGTGTTAATAAGTGTTCTTAACACACTATATGAACATCCCAAGTCAAATCTTTTACAGTTTTGGTTAGGGCCTTTGTGAATTAAGGTAACGATATGTAGCAACTATCGATCATAGGGATACCATTCCAGGCTGTCCCCCTGTTACCAGCTGCCCGACAGGATATCACCCTGAAATAGGTGCGCTCCTCAGAGGTGAAAACCGAAACATGCTGACTTTGCTTCCGCGGAACACCGAATCTGTATCAACTTTAGCAAAGCTGATTGAAACTGCTTCGCGAAAGTTACTGAAAACACCTTCTCTGCCCTTCCCACATAAACCGATATTCACTTAGGTGAGCGTGAGTTCAACATGGTTGTCACTGCTGCTGCAGCCCTGCTGGATGTATTACGGACATCGTCCGAACTTCCCTGCCAAAGCGGCTGTTCTAGCCGATGAGCGTGTCAATCTTCGTCAGGGATCTCAGCACGGAGATTCGGAAACGTACATAAGCGGAATAAGTTCGAAGGGCATCTGTGACTTCTCCTCTGGTGTACGCGTAAAGGCCCGTAAATCTTCCGCAAAATCTTTCTCACGAATACTCTAAGAACTGCCTCATCGGATGTTGTTGTTGGCTGATATCGTCGTCAGGTTCCACTAACAGCAACCCCAAGAAGCGTGCAGCCTCTATGGGGTCGGTCCATAGGGACGACGCCGTTAGGGTTGTGGGGTTTTCCGGGCATGCGAAGAGATATTTCGAGTCGTGAGGGGTCTCTCCGCAAGCCGGACATTCGTTCGGCACATCCGCATTTAACCTACTCAGGTAGGAATTTAGCCTGCTGCAGGAGCCAGAGCGAAGTTGGGCTATTGTTGTCCTGGTCTCCCGAGGCAGATGGAGCTCCGTCGCGTCAATGTCCGGTGTTTGTGTGCCTAGAACGGCATTCACAGGTCTTGAGTCTACATAACTCGAGACTGCGTCCCTGTGAATGCCATTCAGGGCCTGTCTGTGATGTTGTCATTGTCCATGCTTCTGTGCCATATAACAGCACGGGCATGAAGAGTGACTTAAAGAGTGTTGTTTTCGTACGTCGAGAGAGGACTTTACTCCTGAATAGCCTACTCAGTCCAAAGTAGCACTTGCTGGCAAGAGTGATTCTGCGTTGGATTTCCTTGCTGACCCGGCGAGTCTGGGCAGGTAGCTGTTGAGGCGGCTACAGTATCCAGACCGTAATTGAGCCAGGGTAACGCGGGTCTCTCCTGGCAATTGAAGCTCCATCTCTTCTACATTTGGTGATTGGGCTCCTATTACGGCGTTCATGGGTCGAGGTAGGTGGTGACTGACTCTCTATGGATGTCGTTGATGGCTCGTCTGTATGTCGTCGGGTCCAGTGGTTGGTCTACGTATTGCTGGAGTGCATCCTTGTACACGAATAGGTGCCCCCTGACATGCCTGGGCGGAGGCTCCTCCTGAAGCAGAGGTCTGTTTGGGTGTTCGCTTCTGTGACACCCCACCAGAAATTGCTTACAGAGCATTTTGTTGTGTTCCCTTACGGGGAGCACTTGGGCCTCGCTGTCCGGAGTGCGGCGTTCTGACAAGTCTGTAGCTTTTTCCATGCGTCCAACTAGCCCCCGGCGTCCAAACTGGCGCAGCATAGTTTAGAACCGGCCGCCCAATTGCCTTGTATGTTGCCAGCAACGCTTCTTTGTCTTTGCCCCAAGTGCTGCCGGCGAGCGACTTGAGGCCCTTGTTTCGGCTCTGTACTTTATTGACAACTGCTGTTGTGTGCGTGGAGTAGGAGAGCAGGTTATCGAAGGTGACCCATCGACATGTATACCTAATTCTAGCCTGACCTCCTTCGTCCAGGTGGTGAAGAAAGTCGCCTTTAATTTCGTTGGGGAGAGTGTTAGGCTTTTGAGCAGAGGTCATCAATTCCATGTGGTGATTTCCGTTATAGCGGCTATAACTTCTACCGCTTAAGCTTCGTTGTTATTTTCCATTTTCCTAACAAACAAATCGTGGTGCAAAGCTCGAAAAGACTATTGAGACAAAGAAACGTTGTTGGTAACATAAAAGGCAATTTTCCGGTCGGTTCTAAACAATGTATGCAACACCCGTGTAGTCGCTGGGGACTAGCAGGACCCCGACTGGATGTCTTCTGGTGTCGGCAGAGGCCCACCTCCATGACGAGGCCCAAATGCCCCTGTAAGGGAGCATAATATGCATAGGGAGTATGTCTCAAACTACACCAACTCCCGACCTGTGATTGTCGGTTTAGGACAACTACCACCCTACTGAAGCAGAATAAATTCTAACGTACTTAATACATATATGTCCGAGATGCGGACAGTCTCCGCACGACTCCAAACCTCTCTTCACATGCTCGCAAAACTCAACCAACGCCTCATTCCCTTTGTTGATATAACAATGTGGACCATCAGTAAGACGGTTGACGTCGAGAGTTTGTTAAAACACACTGATCAACGTAGTAGGCACTTCGTCGAGCCTATTATGAACCTTTGGGATATGAAAATTAGTCTCTTTTAAGAGGTATATCTGTCAGTTCTCAGCATTTTTAATCTCTCTTACAATACCATAAGGTATCTTTCATTCACACATAATACTACATTAGTATTTACATACATACATGCACATGTATGCTTATTTTTTTACCGTTCGCATCAGTCATTTTTTCAAAAGTACATAGTATGTAGCTATGTAGGAGATAATACCGTGGATCATACATAGGATGCTGCGCGTAGAAAAGCGAAAGTAATGAAATGTAGGCAAAAAGTTCATTATCTTGCGCTGAGCTTTTTTCTTGGCCTCTAATTTCATCTACAGCTTTCAACTGCGCGCATTGTTTTTTATGTATGTATGTATGCAC